CGTCGGTGCTGCCCGTATCATCCGGCCCCTGCTCTAGAAGGCCCGCCCGTAAGGCGCGCGGTGGCTGCGCTTTCGCTCCGAGCAGCCCGAATGCGGCGATGATTTCCTCTGGCTGAGGTTGAGTTGGCCGCGCCTGCGGCCCCGGGCAGCAGCAGGCAGCGTCTGCGTGAGCCTGCACAGGTGCCAACACAGTGGCGGGCCCAGGAGAACATGGCAGAGCCCCTCATGCCAGTGTCCCCACGGGCCCTGGAGCCGGCACCTTGCTGCCAGGAGCAATCCCACCTGTCCCGGGTGCGTATTCCCTGCTCCTTGCTTCTGCTGGCACCGGCTTTCACAAGGCCGCAGAGTGAACCCGAGCAGCAACCCAATGGGTTGAAAAGAGCTGGCTTGTTTTGCCAGGTTAGTCTTAAGCTGGATCACATCTGCATCACCTCACAAATGTTAGTCCTGGTATATGGGAGGCTGGTGCAGATGTGAGCAAGAGCAGCTGGGGAAGAGAGTGAGGCTGCTTGTTTCAGCAGCAGTGCTGGCTTAAAGGGCTTTGGGAACTATAATATTCTACTACTCTCTTTCCCAGCATATTTACTGGGATGTCAGCTTCTCAAGAGGGCAGTAGCAGCTGCTTTAATGGCCCTGAAACTCCACAGTAGTCCTTAGAAATCTTTCATATGTTCTTAAATGTTGGGCCTCTGGGGGCCAATGGAATCACCTGCTTGGCCTTCCTTTCCACAGGCATCCCAGATCTCCGTGCCTGCAGTTGGTTTTTCCAAGATGTTCTAACTCACCACAGCTATCTGCTGAAATACGTTTAACTGTATCTGACAACATGGTTCGTGAACAAGTTGTTCTGATGCAGGGCTAGGTGTTGAACAACACAGGGAACTGTAGAACTCTGTCAGGGCAATGCTTCATTTCATTTCATTCTTGTGTCTGTGGCTAATTCTAGGGTGAAAGGTTAAAGCTAGCTCTGCTTCTTTCGATTTGCTTAGCTGTCCTCTGTGTATTAGACTCAAAGCAATATTAAATACTATTGTTAACAGCAAATTTTTTGTGCAAAGGCAATGGAGGAGTATGTGCTTTCATGAATGTGCTAAAACATGCTGGGGAACATTAACAATGGCCTTAGGTGTGTTGGCAACCAGGTCACTCAACAGGAAAGAATGAGAAAGGATATGATGATATTTAATTTATATAATGAATTATAAAATTAAGTTTCACATTATAATAATTTATTTATTAAGAACATTATAATTAGGGGCCTGTCTTCTCTCTTACTTGCAGGCCTGGAAGCTGGCTTTGAGTTTGCCATTCCAAGTGCCTGGAGGGAGCAGCTGTTAGAGGGAGGAGATAAAGGGCCACAAATCTGAGAGAAAGTAGTCTAGAGGAGTTTAAGTGAAGGAGAAATGGAAAACAAAGAGGTACAGGGGAACTTCCTTTCCTGAATGTGCTGAAATGTGCTGGAGAACAGCAGTGATTGGGCTGGATGTATGTGTTCATGGAGAATGAGAGAGGATACTAATCGGGCACCAGCGCACAGAGACAGCAATGAACACAGACTCAGAGTCTGGGGGAGGGCAAAGGCACAGAAGGGAGAAAGTGAGGGATTGCAGAATCCTCCATGATGTTTGCCATTTTTTAAGTGTGACCGAGAAGGGATATGGGACTGCTGCATGCTTAAGGCAGGGAAGCAGGGTGCAAAAAGCAAGTGAATGCCAGGTGGAGAGATGACTCTCTGCTATCTACCCACAAAGTCCTCTCTAGGACACTGGTGGAGGAGGAAAAGCCTGATGACAGCAGGAATGGTTGCTTTGAGTGGTTGGGGCCGTGCTGTGCAGTCCTATGTGCTGTGTCGCCACAAATGCGTGCAGTGATGATCACACATGCTTAGATGGAGCTGGTGGGTGAATTAAGGATATAGTTTGACAATACAACTAAGCAGATAAAATTACTAATTGCTGAAAGGAGAGGTCCTGCACTTTGCTGTGGTAGGACTCGTATTCATGTAATGAATGTTCAGCCAGTGAGCTAGTTGAAGGAGCTAGACCAGCAGAAAATTGTCTTCTCGTGTTTAGTTGGATTTATTTTCTGTGAGCTTAGCTACGTGAACCAGCTCTCCTCAGGATCAGAGGAATGCCAGGAATGTGTATCTAGGGACAAAATGGGGAGAGTAGATCAGCTGTTTTGGCAGCAGCCAGCTCTTTGATCAGCTTGGCTGTATTGTCAAACTGCCATCCTGACTACAGCTGCTGTCAGCAGTTTTCCTCGTGATGGTGGTGATTCCTTTCCTGCAGGTGATGGCAGGGGTATGGAGAGAAGTAGTAACAATCAACCTGAAGCCCTGGCCCCAAACAGGGAAGCACAGACCAAAACCTTTTTCCCCAGGTGGCCATTTTGACACCAGAATGCTTGAACTGCTCTTGATTAGGTCCTGTACTGGCATTTCCCAGCAGAATCCAGGCAGGCCCCAAATACCTTCCCAGGCCCTTTTGGGATAGTTCTAGCCTAGACGTGGAGAAGGACTAACAAACACTTTCCTGAAGCTGTGCAAGAGCAGACACTCTGTTGGGGCCTGCCTTGGGTTCAGTTTGAGTTTCACTTTGGCTCTGCTGAGCATAAGCTTTTCTAGAGCATGCTGGTTCTAGAGTAAGGCTGTTGGGGTGATTGGCAAGGCTTCATTTTGTCAAGTCAATTACTGTGTGAAACAGGAAGGGAGACATAAATTCTAGCCTATTAGTTAAAGCCTATCAGTCAGTCCAGTGAGCATCTAAACACAAAGGGTGAGTGTGAAGCTTATCCAAACTTAAAAAAACTCATGGAAGAAAAATTCCACATCCACCTGTTATCCAGATATGTGAAGACAAGGTTAAGAGTCCAAATCCTCTCATTACCAAGAATGGAGATTACAAGGGGCTGTGGTTTTTTTAGCCCAAAAGCAGGAGGGAACTGGCAGTGAAAGCAGGAGGGAACTGGCAGTGAAGGGCTGGGGTTAAAATCATGTAGGCATTTCTTCAGTGTTAAAATACTACACCAAAACGAAGTGGATTGACAGAACTGATCCCTTTGAAACAGCTGACAGATCCAAATTGTCTCTAACATTTATTTTTAACAATTTTGATTTGGTTTAGCACATGCAAACCAGCATAGGAATTTTTATCTTACAGCTGTTTTGATCCAGTCTCAGGTGGCTTTCTACTGACTTAACTGTTTTTCAGGACCACAGCCCCATTCAATTGCAGGCAGCCTATTTGCAGAGTATGTAAGGAAAGAAGAGTTTCAACAGAAGAGTTTAAGTATTATCAACTGGGAGACTGGGACACCTAATAATGAAACATTCATCAGACCAGCAACTGACTTTCTGATTCAGTGAACTGCTAATTAGTGATATAAAGTGCCACAAGAATGGAAGAGAGGCAGAGGCCTCTCTAACATAATTGCAGTAACCACCCTCAGTGTGAAAAATTCTTATTAATATCCTTTAATCTTAATCAGGGCAAAGCTTGAAGATTGACAGTATTGCACAGACGTACCCCGGATTATGTCACCAGCTACTCTCTATCGGGAGAGTGGGACAGGGGCTCTGTATTTTGTCCTATTCTATGCTGGTTTCAGAATGCCACGTTGTCAAAACTGGGTATTTCTCCACCCCCAAAACTTCAGTTTTGAGAAACTCTCATTTTTACATGAAGAAGTATTGTTAAAATGTTCCAGGCTGGCTGTGATGCTTAGATGATTTTCTGGTTTTAAAATGTTTGCCCTCACTTGGGTGTTCTAGGCTATGGTAGAGACTGAGACTTTGATTCTGAGTTGTTATATTATTCCTTGATTGGCATGATTAATTACAGATATTTGCAAATCCTGTAGGTATGTAGCTAAAAAGATCATCTAGACCATCCTCACTTCCAGAACTAAATGTACTTAGACCTCTCTGGTGCATGTTTCTCTGACCACCTAAAAATTTCAGCAAGGGGATTGCCAATTTCCATATGAAGCTCCTTCCAGTCTTTCTCTGTGAAAGTTTTCTCATACTTAACATAAAGATGCTCAGTATGAGCCCCATTCTTCCCCCTTTGATGTCAAGTTCCTAAAGGTATTAGCCAAGAGCAGAGTTGACTGATACTTTAAGAAATCACCCTCAGGCTATTTGCTGTGAGAAACATTGTAGAGATGTGTAGGAACTCTTGGCTGCCTGTTCTGGAGATGAGGCTTCATATCACACCTCTGCAAGCTTTTTCTTACATAACCATTATCATATTATTTGGTTTTTCACCCTGTTAACAGATATACATATATCTCCTCATAATAGAATGAAACAGGTTTGATTTTTTTTTTTTAAAGTATCTCCTTGTAGTGCCATCAGAAATAAGAAGCACAAATAGTCATGTGGAGACTATTGTCAAAAATATGAGACCTAGTGTGGTGAGCCAGGAATCCAGGTCCAGTGTGGCCTCTGCTTATCTCTGCCTTGAGAAATGCTTCTGTCTTTCAGAGTGAGCAATACAGTACTGAAAAGACAACGGGGCTGCACCCAAGAATTTTGCACAGTGAGAACTGTCTGATCTGCCAAGCTGGAATCTCCAGGTTAAATCTTTCCTGAATTTTCCACTTTTTGGACTTCAGAGACAGGCACCTCTATGACCTCTGGTATTTTTACTTGCCACATTTCCTCCTCTCCAGCAGCACGATGTTTCATGCAGACCACTCTGCAGTCAGAATTTATGTGTGTAACTTGCCAGGAAACAGATTTTCTCTGTTTTTTTTAATCTGTGTATTTCTGTCCACTTTCAAAAGACTCTCCATACTCTGCAAAGAGGTTCTTGAGCTATTGTGTTCCTGAGACTACATATGTGTTTAATCTCTCCCAAACTGGTTCAGTGGTCATTACTACAATTCTGTTTATTTTTTGACTTAACTAACAAGGAATGATAAATAACTTCAAAACAAATACATTTAAAAATATATGATGTTCCTGTCCTCCTAATTTCCTATCAGCACATAATTTTATTTCAAGTGTTATCACAGAACATGCTTTTTCTGTTTCACACAGAGAAGCAGATTGACCATTTTTATGTAGGCTTATGTTCTTGTATTTTAAAGCGTAACTATGCAAGTTAATCAACCATTTTTAAATATTCTAAATATATTAAGTCCCATGACAACTTCTTGTATTTTTCTCTTCTCAGTCACATGAAGAATCAAAATCAACTTAATAAGGCAATTTTTAGCCCAACATTTGCTAGGGAGAGCTCCCTCCTTCTGAAAAACAAACATACTTTAGACTAGGGCAAAAGTACAGGTCTTTCAACTACAATCTTTCCTCTGCTCAGTCTAGAATTCCTGTCTAAGTGCAGATTTAAAATTATATTCATTTTCCTTCTTAACCACCTGCTTCTGCAGAAGAAAAGTCAAAGGAAATCTCATGATCATATGGGGGAACAGGATCTCTTCACATTACCTGGGGCAAGCAGGGCCAGGGCACTCCAGATAACAAGGAAAATATTCAAATGGGTATTCCAGGACGCTCTGGAGATCATGATAAAGAGAAACCCAATTGCAAAAACTCAGTTCAGGTCCAGCAGGTCTTATTAACTCTGGTTCAGTGCCAATACTGCAAGACTGCCAGCTGGCCCCTGCACTATTTGAGTGTCTTTGCAGCATACTTTCCCAGTGCTTCAGGTTCTGAAAGGGCCCTGTATGTACCAACAGAGCCAGTGCAGGTCTGGCACTACGTTCTGTCTAATGCACTCTTCTAGTACTTGAAGTGTAGATCAGTGATAGCAGGCCCTTGGAGCCCTGGTGTATGTGGATTGACTTCTTCCAGAGCTTACTTGGATGTCTCTGCACTGCTCTTACCAGAACTCCAACTTCCAGAAATGCAGTGAGGGGCCATCTGACCGCATGGGGAAACCCGAGTTCTGCTGGATTTCTAGCTCTGGCTGTGTGCTGAAGGGAAATGGCATTTCTAAGGTTGAACCAGTAGTTTATATCAAATTTGCCATACTTTGTTTTAGCAAAATTTTTCTCCCTTGCATACAGAGTAAATCTGGATATTTTGAGACCAGGTCTGCCCTTAGTATGACATCACAAGCTGAAAAAGGACTCTTAATGGAAGCTAATTATATTTTTGTCAACTTAAAGATACTTAGTCCTCCCTGTAAGACTGAGTACTGTTTGGGGTGTCAGTGTGCATACATTCTGTACTGCCATTTCCCAGGATAAATGTTGTTTAAAAATATGAAAATAAGACAATTTTTTGATAAAAGTACAATCCTTACAATGCATTATGGACCTTAAAAGGTTTGGCAAGTATGGAGATTGATTCCCTAATCTGGAATTCCTTGGCTAGGGGTGCAGAGTGGTCCTTGCTCTGGTCTCCAGGAGGGAGAGTGCTGTGGGAGGAAAAGCAGATGTGAAACAGAACAGGCTCCTCAGTGCTGCACCTCACTGAGTTTGGTGAAACCTAGCAAGCAAAACCTTAACTCCATGGCTGAACTGTTCAGGGGAAGTAGAAATAGAACCTGATTACTTTTTCCAAGCTTCTATATCCTAGTGGCTGCTGCTACTGTTAAATATGATAAACTCCTATTTGTTCACTTTAGCTTGCCATCAGTACTCTCTGTTTGCTGGGGCAAGCCCAGGACGTTTCCCTCCCCACCTGTCAAACCTGGAGTGTGCTTTGGCACCCTGCCACTGCAGAGTCTCAACGACTTGAACAGACTGCTTCAGAAACAAGACATCCCAGTACTTACGCCGCCTCTACTTCATGAGCTTTTCTTCCCATCTGTATGCCTTCTGAAGAAGAAAGTGTTTGCTGGTCAGAGAGGTTTTCCACTTGCGCCTTCTTCAGCTTTCCATTACCGCTCAGAGGTTATATGGGGTGCAGTGCTATACACTGTACTGTACTATATGCAGAGGTGTTCAGACTTAATTTATTCCCTTCTCCTGGATAAAGATTATTGCAGCTGTGTGTTTTGGAAAACTATCAATGAAGGGAGTTCAGCTCATACAACACACTTTCAATAGGGTACTGTACTCTATATTTCCAGGTTCTGTTTTAATTACACTTGCATATTACCTTGGAGGAAGCTGAAATCTGGAAAATGTTTTCTCATATACCATGTCTTAAACCTTCCTGACCTTCTGTTTTATACCAAGTACATTTATGTTTGTGATGAAAACCATATAATATGGGGCAAGGCTTGGCTATCCAGGATAATCTATCAGAGGCGTGCTGTCAGTCCCTCCTAGCAAAGACTGAGCAATTTTCACTGAGAAATGTCCCCATCATCCCTTGCCCCACCAGCTTCCAGCAGTCAGTCCCTCTTCCCTTCACGTGGCTCCCAACAAGAGCCAGAGGAGTTGGCCATGTGTTGTGAATGGGGCAGAATAGTTGGCCCTTTCCTGGGGCAGTGAGAGGCTCCTGCTGCTCTGAAGAATCCTTGAGGGTCTGAGCAACAGAGTGGCTCATGCAGTGTCAATATATTGCCCATATCCTGAAAAAACAAGCAAAAGCCTCATTTAGAGGGACTGTGTACAGCAGTGCGTGCCCAGAGCTTCACAAAGGCTGGTGAGCAGGAGCAGCACAGGAGTCCTTGGGGTGCCGCACACCACTCCTGCCCGGCCAGGGACGTGAGCGCTGCTAGTGAGCTTCTGTATTGTCTGTGCTGGAGACCACTGGAAAAAACCAACCCAGTGTCCATAATTAAAACCTCTTCAAGACAGCTGGCACTGTGCAGGGAGAGCAGGGCACCAGGGAGAATTTCTTTATGCCGCATACCATCCAGCCAGGAATAAGCGGTTAGAAGCAGGTTACAGAGGTGCCCCATGAACTCTCAACAAGAGGTGCAAACCTTCAGCGATCGGAAGGTGTGTGCTTCTCAGGGCTGACAGCAGAACAAATTCTGTATGAGTCGGGCATCTGCTCCAGAGAATCTTTCAAGTAATCTTTAAATCCATGCCAAAGAGAACACATCTTGATCTTCACATCCTTAGGATGTCTGGAGAATGTCCTGGGAGAAAGGGTTTTAGTTAATATGTGCGAGCACCAGAGTCTGTCAGTCCTCTGCCCAGCTCTTGAAGCTCAGCACTTCAACATTCAAGAAGTGCAGATTGCTGTCAGCATCTTTCTTCTCTTCTGGGAGAGTTCACTCCTCCTGGAGGCAGAGGTACATGGTGAGCCCTCCAGCCTGGGACACAGGTCTCTGCTGCTGAGTCTGATAGAGCTTGTGAGGTTGTGCCTTTACTTGTCTCAATGCCTCACCCTATAAAGCAAAGTAACCTTTACTTCATAATGAGTAAAGGGAATTATATAAATCTTGTCAAGCAGGAACCTTTTAGTGGGACTAAGCTGCTTTTTAACTTGGCTGTAAACAAGGATTTTCAACTATGGGGCAAGAACTTATTAAATGGAAAGTTTTTCATTAGAAAGCGCTGATTATGGAAAAACAGTGTTGGTCATAATAGAAGGCTGAGTTTGAACTCCTGATGTGATGGTGTAGGTGAGAGGGAAAGCTGAACCCTGAACTATAATGAAGATCAAAATCCAGTAAAAGTACAGAGTTACTAGTGTATCTGTGGTACTGATGAGACTGTTACTGCAACATTAAAGGAGTTCTGGTGTTCACACTACAGAAAGTATTTGGAGTGGGAGTCTAAAGAAAAACACACAAGAAGAAAAAAAATGTGGTAAGGAAGGTGCACAGCGAAAGCATAACCAAGTTGATCTACCTCTTCCATAGAAAATAAAAGAAAAAAATTCATCACAGTCCGCCTAGGTAGAACAATGCCTGTGGGAGTAAGTTTTTTCATGTAGCAGACAAAGAAGCCAATTCATTGATTCAAAGTGGAAACTGGACAGTAGGTAGAAATAGCTGCTTATTAAAAAATGAAGTGCTAATATTCACAAAATTAGCTTAGAGCTGAATGTGGTGAGCTTTTTAAAACTTTTGGTCTTTAAATCAATCCTGGATCTCTCTTTCCAAATACTTCCAAATACCCAACTATTACGTAGAGTCATTTAATTCCAAGGAACTTTAAAAATAGGCTTCCTTTAAAAAAATGTGGGTGGGTAAAGAGACACCACATCAGACAGCCATGCTTAGAGAAGAGGAACAGTGGCCAAAGCCCTGTTAAGTCCTACTCAACTGATTAAGCCAGGAGGTCCCACTGTACTAGTTCACTGCAAGTTTTGGGCTGTATACAGAACATAAGAATGGTTTAGCCAAGTCAGACCATGGATCTGTCTAGTCCATCTCCTATAGACAACAGCAGATCCCCGAGAAGAAAATAAGGACAGGACCAATTTGCAGCTAGATTTTCCTGGCACAGGCACTTCCAGCTACCAGTGGCTCAGAAAGTCCCATGGACTTAGGTTCAGCAGCTTTTCATGGATTTTTCTTCCATGGACTTATTCAGGTTTTTTAAGCATATGTAGACATTTAGCATCCAAAACAGGGTATGCTTAGGAGTTCTGCAGCTGGGCTACATTGTAGGAATCAGTATCTTTCTGCTTGTTTCAAACCTGTCCTGAATTGGTTTCATTTGGTACATTGTGGTTCTTGTTTGGGAGGAAACTTGCTCCCAGTTCACATTCTTAGCCCTCATCACTTTTCCTTTTTGCTCCAGTCACCTCTCACTGCAGGGCTCCAGTCAATCTAATTACTCCTCTTGCAGAATCTGTTTCATACTTCTAGTCATTCTTATTGCCCTTCTCCAGCTCTGCTGTATCACAGAGTGTTCAAGAGTCATGTAAACCCCCGGAGTGCCTGCATATTGTTTTCTCATTTGCTCTCCATTTCTCTCCCAGTCATTCCTAAAGTTGCGTTCACTGCCTTGGTTGCTATAAAAACTGAGCTGACATTTCAAGGACTCGGAGGTAAAATTTTTTACCTTGGGTAAGCAGGGCTCATCAGGCTAAATCTTAAATGTTCTTCCTGCCCTTATCACCTATGAATTAAACTACCATTCTTCAATCACACTATAAGATGCAGTCAGTATCAACAGTCCCATAATTTGCTCATAATTGCCAGGTCAGCACAGTGACCCTTTATAGAACTGAATTAAATTCCTTTTCTCCTGAGTCTCCCAAACCTCTGGAATTTCCCCAGAATTCCAAGATTTATTAAAAATCAGTAGGCTTATTGGTGCAGGTTAAATGTTTTAAAACTGACAACACCAGCACATGCTCCTCATCACTTTCTTATCTTACTGGCATGGGGGATATTTCATTACTGTTGCAAGAAGTGAATTATTTCTTATGGCTTTTTCTCTTACCAAAAACATTATAATGTTTTGGGAGGCAGATAGCTCCACTGTGTTTACATTTTAAGATAAATAGTAAGTTATTTTGCTTAGAACTCCAAAGAATCAATCTGTTTCTAAAGTTTCTATGCCCCAGAAAGATTCCAGCTTACATTTTCTGAAACTCATTGAACAAATATTCACACAACGTTATTCTATAGGAAAAAAAATTAAGTAATCAATAAACTTGTCCCATTTCTGTAATATTTCTGCATACATCTGAGATTCATCTTCCATCACTGGCCCATACCACGTGGGTTTAAATTCCAGTATAGACGCTATGGGGTGAAGATATGTGGACTGCAGGCACTAGATGTTCAAACATGTCAGCCTTGACTGAGCCTGGGCACCAGGCTATAGCTCAGGGATTTGTAAAAATACTGTGACATGTAT